GCGGAGAGCTCCTCCTGACGCAGCACGGGGACACTCACGGGGCCCTCAGGGGGACAGCCGGACACGATGGCGAAGGGGCCTCGCCTGGGCTGCCCTCTCTGGGTATCTGCTTAGGAAGCAAGTGCTCCCCGCTGCGCACAGGGAAAAGAACGAACGAAAGGGGGAAAAAAAAAAAGAAAAGAAAAAAAAGAAAGGATCGTATGGTGATTGCTGCTTCCTTTGCAATTAATGTTGGTGGTGGTTCAGCCTCTAACTGTGGGAAAACTCTTTTTAACTTCCTATGGGAATGTGCTCTGGGATGGGAGAACACTGATGAGGATGGGATGAGTTGATCCATAGCTGATTGTCTCTTGCTCATTCATATAATGCTTGAAATTGTTTAAAAAGCATACAAATGCAATTGGGTTACTTTGTCTCACCTCTGTGCTACTGAATTTTGGAGAAAGGAGTGTGACACAATCTGGAATGCTGAGGGGCTCTTCTGTAGTTTTGTGTCAGTGCGAGAGGTATTACAAAAGTACTTAATGCTGGTCATGCAATAACTTTTCTAAAATAAATATAACTGGCCTGTATTTTGTTCTGGTCAAAGTTGTCCAGCAGAGCCTCTAAGGGAGGCAGAGGGAGCCTGCAAAAGAAGCTGAGTGAGGAGGGTCTTCCCCAGCCTTTTCTACAGCACTGAAACAATCCGCAACTTGAATTCTCTCTTTGGTGTTGTCTCTCTCCGCAGTGAAACAGGGCAGACCTTGTTGTGGTCCTTCGTGCTCTTCCACAAAGCCCTGCACTGGCCGCAATCATCAGACTTTTGCTCGAGGCAGGTGGAAGCGATACTGAACGAGGGCAGCGTTGGCTTGAAGCCTGGGTGGCTCCTGGGGCAACCTCATTACTCAAAAAGCTGCTCCTGACCCATGTGTAGTCCTGACCTATTGAGAACTAAAGTTATTACCTCTTTGTTCTCATGTGCTGGCTTGTAAACTGCAGAAACACAGGTGAAGTTGTTTTGTAGTGACAGGGACTGCTGAGAGGGCGAGATGGGTGGTGAACTCATGGGTGTCCCAGCTGAATGTGGTCTTCGTGCATTAACTCCTTTGTGCAGCCTCCTGATGACACTGGCTTGGGGGGCAGTTCCTAAAGTGGTGGTCTGAAATCCTCTTCCTTTGAATGGTAGTAGAAGGGCTAAGGGGGCTTCTACCAGGAAAGAATGGAGGGTTCCTGGTGATGGGTATTTCCTCATGTGATTATGAAAACATCATTAGGAATTACCTTTTTCTTCTCTCCACATCTTTTTTTTTTTTTTTTTTTTCAAATGGTTCTGTCCCAAGATATTCAATGGCAGAGCTTTGTCCTTGCAGAAACTAGGAAAAGGGTGTTTTTTGGAAGAGGTCTTTGGAAGAGGTGTGGGCTCCTCCATGGACTCTCAGAGCCTTGTGGCCAGGTGATTGCCACTGAACCTCAAACAGAGGTGGGCTAAAATTGCCCCCTCTTAGCACATCAATACAGGTGAAAGAGAAAAAAAAATCTAGGGTAAGGATAAAAGAGAGAGATCAGCTTTTTAATTCTCTTGGAGGGGAGGAAAAGAAGAAAAAAAAAAGAGTTTTACCCAGCTTCTTAAGGACTACCTGTAGTAGTAGAAGTGTAGTTCAATGGTTCACAGCTTTTGCTTTAAAACAAACCAAAATCGCCCAGAAAAATGTTTCAGTTGTGGTTCTCAAATACAGTGCTTGGCCTGTCTGCGCCGCGTGTCCTAAGTCATGACTGCAGTGGCCTAGAGCTCAGGAACTGCCACACGTTGGGGCCTTTGTTCCCCGGCTCAGCCGTGATGGCCTAAACAGAGCAGCTCAAGTGCAGTCTGCTCCGTGGTGCAGTTCAACCACGCTCCCCTCTCGGGTGCATTAGTCAGGTTGCTCAGCATGCAGAACAACGATTGAATGTAGAGCTTAACAGCTTGTTCTGTAACATTCAAAATTGGCTGTGTCACTGAGGTATAAATAAAAGTAGTTTTCTCTAGACAAGCCCTGGGAAATATTCTAGGAGAACATTCTACTAAATATTCTTCATTATTCTATATTTTAAGCAGTGTGTTGGGGACTATCAAGTGTGAAACTCCCCTTTTTAAAGAAACAACACATGCACTTCATTTTACTATAATCATTTCCATATAGGAATAAATTTAGTGTTACTTGGCATTTTTGTACAGTTAAACCACGGCTTTAGGAAGAGCAGAGCTGTAACTTACCTGCACTGCTTGTAGTTTACTAGCTGAAGATCACAGAATCATAGAATGCTTAAGGTTGGAAGGGACCTCTAAAGCTCATCTAGTCCAACCCTCCAGCACACACAGGGTCACCTAGAGCACGTGGCACAGGATTAATATTGTGAAATGCACAAAGCTCAGTTACACACCTTGACTGCTGCCACCTCCTGTTTCAGGACAACCTGGGTAAGACATTAATACTGTTGACAGTGTTAATAATATTTGTTTATTGCAATAGCTGATTACACGTGTGCTTCAGTATACACTGAATTTTAATCCAGAATACTACCCTAAAGCTGATAACGTGAGCTGTGTGTTGGATGATCAGACAGACCACATAGCAGGCGTTATTCACTTCCATATTTAGGATGAACACATCACTAATGTCAGCGTTACCAGGTACAGCAGCAACTGTGACTGACATGGGGTCACTCAAACCCCTCCGTTACTGCACGCTGCCTCGGGGGAAGTCTCACCCTTTGAAGTAGAATAAACTCATACAGATTCTTAGACTAACAAAAACAAAGGCAGATTCTGATTAAGTTAGAAGTTTTTATTTGAAGGACCTCTACACAAGTACATGACAGGTCGTAAAACCATCCAATGTGATAGTAGAAGGAAAACAGATTTTCTTAAATGATGGTTCCCAGAGAACACTCTGCTCCAAATGCAGGAAGAGCCACAGTCTGGGCTGTGGTCAAGGGCTTAGTTTTCATCTTCGTAACCAGTTGGGAGAGCGTTAACACGCGGATTGTGGAAAAGAGTTTTGTTCCCATCGCCCCAGGGAAAAGGCTGTTGAAAGAAGAAAGAAAATAAGAATGGCAGCTCATGGATCTGCTCAGATCTCCAGATCTGCTACAGCTCAAGAAATTAATTCTTGCAACAGGAAACAGACTTGGACATGAGACAGCTGGGGAGGCCCCTGAATTAAGCAAGCTAATAACTGCTCTCCAGGTTGTACAGCATGAGAGGCAGAAAACGGTCTCTGTTAGCTAGAGATAACGGTTCAGTATGCAGCAAGATCAGTGCCTGGATATCAGAGATCAATAGAGTTAGGCTTCTTGTTTTGAGAATCTGGGATAGGCTCTACTAGCTTTTACACCTTTATTAAGTAAAGCATCTCTGTGCCTGAAGCATTTTCAGCGACACACGAGCAGAAAATGGTGGAAGTAAAAGGCTAGTTTGGATCTGCACAGGCAAAGGGTTCTCCAGCTCAGCTGGGAGAGCCCCCATTGCCATCTCGGAGCGGGATGCCGGTTCTGCTCAGGTTGCAGCGCCCTGCTCCGCAGGCCCGCGCCGCACACGTACCTTGGTTCTGAGGTGCAGGTGCGCGTACGGGATGAACTCGGGCCGCTCGTGCTCGTGCTTCCCTTTCAGGTAGCAGTTGAGCATGCACACGCCCACGCCGGGAAGGGCCACCACGAAGGTCAGGAGTCTCCACAGCCGCGCTGCAGGCAGGGACACACGGCGTTACCGGCACGCGCCGGCGGCCGG